TCTTCTGAGAGCATACTTTGGATTCACCCATACACATGGTTTCTCCAAATCCCAGCATTTCTCTCCATCTTCTCTGCAGACTGTTCCCTTCCCCTTGGTAGTCATTTAGAACAGACTCTCACTGGTGTGAAATGAAAACACATTCCCATGTTGTATTCTCCTGTGAGAATACATTCATGCCTTTGAATTCTCCATTAGCAAGTCTCCTTCTAATCACCTTCCTCAGGCGAGCAATGTCCTTCTCTCTGTGCTTTATATCTGCCTGCCTGGAGGTCAGATGTAACAAACTGGATTACTCCCCATCTCTGTCCGAGACGGCTTCACTCGATTCAGCGATCATTGAAAAGTTTAACAGCCTTCAGTAATTAGCCCAGCATCCAGTAATTAGCCCAAGAAGTTTTGCTGGGATTTTCTCAATATGGAGATGAAGGACAACAGAGAAGGCAGTTGTCTCTCACATTTAAAAAAGCTCACAGTCTGACCTACAAATACATTGACTCTCCAGTATCAAATCTTAACTGTTCACAGCCATATTTCCCAAACTGTTAGCACGTTTCATGAAGTAAGTTAGTCTCATTATAAATGTCAACTGCAGATTGTATTCTGTGCACATGTATATATATTTGAATACCCAGCTCCCTACTAAATGTCATTCATCCACTTTTAGAAACATTTATATTCAAAATTATTCAGATTTTTACAAGTGCCTCAGTGACAAGGGAACTTGTACTCTTATGTCAGGTGCCACTGACAATCCAAACTGCATCTGTCATTAGACTGTTTGTTTGGTAATTATATGTGGCAATGGGATCATCTCCTGAAAGGTTTTCTATGTAGCCCACAAATCACACTGAGGTAGAGGGGCTTTGGTGAGGAGAGGTCAGATGTAGAAAAAAACATTTATTTGAAACCAATTTTGCCCAAGACCTAAACAAAAGATAAATGCAAATCATAGTCCATCTGTGCATGCAGAACTTTTGAAGCATTTGTTCTGTTTTTTATGTATTGCCTTTTCAAGTAATTAAGATAGAGATGGCCAAATATGGCAGTATGTTTGATACCAAAAAGCACTGGGGTTTTCACCCCACAATTTTTCATGTTATACAGTACATACTCCTTGGCTAGGAAGATCTTTTTGTTCTGTGTTTACAAGTCTATCATCATGGCAACCTGCTCCACAGCTAAAGTTCCTACAGGTTGTGGTCATATAAATAATTGAGATTCTTGATAGAAGACAACCCATTAAAATCCAATTTTGCTTGTATTGAAGTCAACAGCACTCAGTAGCTACCTCAGTAGGAACAGAAGCTCACCCAAGTTATGAAAAATGCTGCCATTAAACTATACCCCTAGGTTCACATACAGAATGTAAGTAAAGACTCTCTTTTCTAAAAGCAAGTATAGAGCTGCACTCAGAACACACAGCTGTTGGAGACAGCAACGTGTCACACAGCAACGGTCTCAGCACAGGGCCAGAAAGATTTGGAAGCTGTAGAAAATATTTCAAGTTCATTAAATACTTCTAGGTTGCAATAGCACAGTACAAGCCCTGAAAATAAATGTTGACACAAAGAAAGCTAGTTTTACATAATTACTATCAATTGTAAAGTTCCTCCTGGGCAGCAAATGATAACAACTATAACACCAGGAAAAGTGTTAATTGTTTTGATTCAACATCCCAATGTGTATATCCAGATCCTAAAAACTGAAACCCAACCAAGAACAAACCAACACCTTAACCACCTGAACTCAACTACTTGAAAGAGGTCTTTCTATTATTTTAGATTACTAGCCAGTTCAGTCCTTCTAATGATTCCCTTTAAGCCTCATACTTCACCATTTAACATATAGGTTGAATAATCTTTACTAATTTCTATGTTGACTTACATGGATTTATTGGTTCACTTGTTTTTTACTAATTAGGTACCATCTTTCAAATCAATACAGATGGCACTTTCAAACATATTTTTGTTTTGTTTTGATTTTGTTTTTTACACAATAACCTTTAAGAAGATCTTTTTTCTTAATATATTACTAAATGTTTTGCATATGGTCACACAAAGTCTTCAGTGTTTTGTCTCTTTCAGGCTATTTCATTTTTTCAAATTTCTTAAGACATTCAATCACTAAACACCAACAACAACAACAAAAAATTAAGACATATATATTACAACTACTGAATTGACACTTGTAAATTCTGAGTAATTACCATGAAACAATGTGAATTACTACAAATTTACTACAAACCTGCAACTCCAGAACTCCAGTGGGGTAACCAATCTCAAAATTGAAAGACTGTAAATTCTGTCTAAAATCTAAGGTTTTGGTCGTGATAAATTGCTGCTCCTGGTGCAAAAAGATATTCTCTACAGTTGTTGACACCAGCTCCCTGGAATAAATCTTCTCAATTGGAAGTCAGTAATTATAACTAAAATAACTAAATTTGAACATGTGGAGGAAAAGAAAACATCCCTGTTGCCAGGTTAGCTTTGCTTATATTGAATGTCTGACAAAATTATTCTGAAGGAGGAAATAATTTTATTCTATATTTAAAAGAAACTGAAAACCAAAAATAGGCATAGGCTTCAAATCAACCCACAATACCTCATCAAGCAGTGCATTTTAAAAGATAAAGCCTTGTCAGGCCAGCACTTTACCTGTTCTGCCATACAGCTTCTAAACACAGCCAATAAAGCTTTGTTCATCTTGAAATGATTTCTAGAACATACACTCCAACACACGTTTCCATACAGTTAGTAAACATGTGTCTTCAGGCCATGCTACCTGTACTCTGCCCTCTTCCCCTGCGAGCTCCCTATGAGGGATGGAGCAGGTTAGAACATATGGAGCAGGAAGCCTGACAAATTGCTCAGCCAAAAGCACCTGGATAATTCATTAGCACTGTCAGAGTTCTAGTGAGGTTTTGCTGCTTAATTTTCGAACAGATTTTCTAGTGACTGTTCCTGAAAGAATGCAATACAGAAGCATACACATCAAAGGAGGGTGAAGAGGTTTAAAAGTGTTTGTTGCTTATAAAATTAACAAGCAGCCAAGATACATTAGCTGAACCAGGGCAGTGGTTGAGTCACCATCCCCGGAGGTATTTAAAAGATGTGTAGATGTGGTGTTTAAGGACATGGTTTAATGGTGGACTCTGCAGTGCTGGGTTAACAGTTGGACTCAATGATCTTCAAGGTCTTTTCCAATGGAGATGATTCTATGGTTCTATGAACGCAGCCACTGGAAAGAAAAACCTTTCCAGCTATGTGAAAACAGACATCAGCATGACTCAACGGAGATAAAAAATGACCTTACTGCGCAACAACACGCTGGCGTGTGTACTTGACTACATTTTGCAGCTGGACTTTAGGTGGGTTTCTGGTAAAAATCGGGAAACAAACAGGGAATAATGACTAACCGCGCCCTCTAGTGGCAACACTTTATAACAACAAGAGCTCGTAAGATTCTCTTCGTGGTAACGGGGACATTTATTCGAATCTCTCCAGAAGTATTTTTTAGAAGATGACAAATAGGCTTAAAAATAGTAGCGCTTAATCGCATTCTACTTAAGAAAACACCCATAATTTTTAATACACAATTAGACGACTATTCATTTATTTTGATACTCCTAAATGTGCCTTAAAAATATCACCTGATAAAGGTGGTAAACAGGACAGCAAGGGCAACAAAAATCACCAAACCCAACCCAGAGTGCATATATCTAGAGCGAAAAACAACGGGGATGGCAAAACTCTGGTTTAATCTGGATGTCTTTTTAAAGACACAGTGAGTGACAAATCTTCGGCATTACTTTAAAAAAGATATACTCGCCTGCCCTTTTTCCTGACAACTGGAAGCATCTCATTGAAAGGGAGAACTGTATCTTGTCTGATTTTACCCCATGATGTTACAGACGTTAATAAGCCTAGAAAATACCTCAAGCCTGGAGAATTGTCATATTGGGGTAAAAAAATGAATAATAAAAAAAAATCAGCGGAAATTAACTCCCTGTACTTAATGCAACCAAATGAAATTAAAGCTTTAGAATGCAGACAGGGTCGTGGGAGCTAATAGTTGGTTTACTGTTGTGGACAGGTGTAGGAAACAAGAACTCAGGAAGCTGCACGAGCAGAGACCTGAGACGGAGATGGACTGAAGCAGGGAAGAACACTCTTCCTGGTGTCCATACCGTATCGGAGAAGTAAAAAGAGAAGAGTCTCCCTATCCAGATGTGCACGGCGAAGGGCAGGGGCGGACGGGCTGTAATAGGAAACCTGCGTGTTGCGGGGCAGCCCAGCGCTGCAGCCACCGCCCTGCCGTGCCGTGCCGTGCCGTGCCGTGCCGGGGACCGGGAGCCGGAACCGCCCGCCCCGGCAGGCGAACTAACGAGACGGGAGCGACAGGCGCTGGCCGTCGGCTGCCGCGAACAAGGAGCGAGCTGAGTCGCGCTCAAACGCTTCACTTCGAGCTTTTTTAGATGGGAAGGAAAAACGTTCACTTGCGTTTGGTGGACGACTTCGGCCAAGTGCCGCTTGGCGGAGAGGGCAACGGGGTGGCGGGGACGGGGCTCCGAAACCCTCTGATGGGAAGGGTCCGCGGCGGGAGCCACGGGCAACCCCCGCCCCACTCCGCTCCGCCATGTGCGCGGGCGGGGGAGGAGGCGTGTCCCCATCCCGCCGCACCGCCCTTCGCTCGCCTGCCAGCCGGCACCGGCACCGCCGGAGCGAAGCTGCGCCGGGTGCGGAGCTCCCCGGTCCCGCCATGCCCGCGGCCGCGCCTCCGCCCCGGCGGGGCCCCGCGGAGCTGCCCTCCCGCCCCCGGCGCTGAGCCCGCACCGGCACCTGCGAGCGGCATCGCCGAGGCATCGCCGGGGGGACCGCTCCGCTCCTGCGCGGCTGCTGGGGCGCCTCTCCCGCCGTTCCTCCCTCCCTCCGTCCCCGCCTGTCGCCCGCCCCGTCGCCGAGCGGGAGCCGCCAGCCGTACGCGCACAGCCGGAGCCGGGGCAGCCGCCGCCGCCCGCGCTGCCCCCTGCTCGCCGCCCTGCCCTGCCCGCGCTTCCCCTTCTCCGTCCCGCCCAAGCCATGAACTTTGGCCGCGGCCCCCCGGTGGTGTTGAACGTCGGGGGCACCCGGTACTCCTTCTCCCGGGAAGTGTTAAAGGATTTTCCGCTGCGCCGGGTGAGCCGCCTGCACGGCTGCCTGTCGGAGAAGGACGTGCTGGAGGTGTGTGACGACTACGACCGGGAGCGGAACGAGTACTTCTTCGACCGGCACTCGGAGGCTTTCGGCTTCATCATGCTATACGTGCGGCACGGCCACCTGCGCTTCGTGCCGCACATGTGCGAGCTCTCCTTCTACAACGAGATGATCTACTGGGGGCTGGAGGGCTCCCACCTCGACTACTGCTGCCAGCGCCGCCTCGACGACCGCATGTCAGAGACGTACACCTACTACGCGGCGGAGGAGCCGCCAGGGGAGCCGGGTGGCGGCCTCGAGGGCAAGGGAAGGCGGCCGCCGGGAGCCGAGGGCGGGAAGTGGCTGGAGAGGATGAGGAGGACTTTCGAGGAGCCCACGTCCTCCGTGGCCGCCCAGGTCCTGGCCACCGTCTCCATCCTCTTCGTCATCGTGTCCATGGTGGTGCTGTGCGCCAGCACCCTGCCCGAGTGGCGGGCGCCGGGGAACCGCAGCATGGAGGAGCAGAGCAGGTACACAGCAGAGTCAGTGAGGGAGCCCTCAGGGTAGGAGGATCCTTTATTTTCCCGCTGTCCGGTCCCCGTGTGTCACGTCCAGTGTGTTCTGCCCCTCGTCTTGACCGTCCGTGGCTGTAGCTGCCGCCGGCGCTGATCGTCTGCGCGCTTAAAAACGCCGACCCTGAGCTCGGAAGCTGCTGCGTGGGGATGTGAGGGTGTCGGCGGATCGGTGCTGCTCCGCAGCTCCGGTTCCCGCCGGGCTCCGGTGGCCCCGAGCGCAGGGCACGGGCTGGGGGGCGCCCGGAGCGGCCGCACGACAGGCGGGCCGGGGCCGCCGGCACGCTCGGGTCTGGGTGCGCTGGCAGCGGAGCGGGGCCATCGGGATACGGCTCCTATTCTCAGTAAGGGTGCCTCCCTCCGTGCAGGATCTTCGAGCCCTAATTGCCCCTCTTTAAGAGGCTACGGGACTCCTTACCCACACAGAGAACTTTAGACACTCGGAAGATCATTTCAGGTCTTACGATTGGGGGGGGAGGGGGTGGAGGAAAAAAAAGGGGGAGACTAAAACTCGAAAAGAATGCAATTCCCTTGTCTTTTCCTCTGGGAAAAGCACAATCCTGTAAGCACTCTGGATGTATTCATGCAAGTCCTTCTGATGGAGCAGATCCAGTGCTTGTTAGGATTCTGCTCTGGTAAAATCACGTGTGGGGGAACAGCCTTATGCCCCCTGCCTTTCCATCTCAGATTCTCTATGTGGGAAACACAGGAGATGATGAAACTACACACTGAGCTCTTGCAAATGCATCATATAAGCACCCCAGTGTATGAATGTTACAATGTTTACATTTCCTTTAGATAAAACGTATGTAAGCACACTAAACATTGCAAAACAGATGCAGAAACCAGGGCATGGGGTATAAGGCTCTATCCCGAGCCTTACTAGTAAGAACAAACCTTTTTCATCTTCTTGTGACCTCAGGTTAAGGTTACATTGATGCAACTCTGCTGACTTAAGTATAGTTGCGCTCGCTCTCCTTCTCCTGCTTCCTCTCTTTCCCTCTCTCCTGTTCCCTAGAGAGCAAAATTGAGACCGTTTCTGGTAGAATTTCTCTCATAAATAAGAATGACATATAACAAAAGAAGTAAACATTTCTGTTATTTGCTAGCTTCTCCCTTTTAAAACAGACAGGATACTCAACAAAAAGTTTTCAGCTTCTGCTCTGCTAAAAGAGCCCTACAGTGAAATTGCAGCCTTGTCATTATGAAATCATCATCTTTTACCATAGAGTTAATTGGAATGTGATATATTATATCTTAGTAGCCAGATTAATTCCTTGGAAAGTATTTTCAGAGTTTCCATTAGCTTAATGGAAAACTGCACCTGTATTTCTTATTGTAGTTGAGCCAAAGAATTAATTCTATGAACAAAAAGAAAGCAGATGCAGATTGAGAAGCTGTTGATGCCTGCTTAGATTCAGATACGTCAAAAGTTGCTCTTATAGTTTCTTCCAGTTAAAAAGCATTACTTAAGCTTTGCAAGGTTATTTCAAAGAGTGGATGCTCTTGGTGATCTTTTTGTACAACAGCAAATTGCCAAGATGGTCCCAATAGACAAGTGAAAATAGATGCAGCACTGGCATAGCATTAACCACATCTGTCATGTCTTTGTTCACATCTTCATGGTGTGGGAATTGACAAGAAGTTTTTTCTTACTGAAAGAGTTCAGCTTGCAGAGGAACATGGCATAGGATGTGTAATTTTTCTTTCATAGTGCCTTTGTCTTCAAGAACGTGTGTATTACTCTTTTGAACAACTGCATATTGTACACAAAGTGTTAAAAGGATAAAGTCCTAAGTACTTGTAAGGTTCAGTATAGCTAAGCACTTCCCAGGGCAGTGAAGGTTGCTATTAAAACCAGAAGGACCACTATCAATGGTGGGGTGAGTTTCTTCAGTACTACCTATAATATTTCACAGCATTGCAAGAAGAAAATACACATAACTGTAAATGTTGCAGCTGAACACTTTCTGACCATCTTCTTGCAAAAATCTGTCGTATGTAAACACTGGTACAGACTGGTTCATTTCACAAGTGGCTTAACCCATGTGCTCTCATTGCACAGGAACTGATCACAATCTGATGGTGAACACATTGAAAACAGGCACAAATGTGTGCCTCTCTGTCCACAGCTGGCCACCAAGGTGGAACCAGTCCTCTCTTTATTATATACGCTGCATCATGACTAAAAAGCCTGTTATAGCTGAAAAAAGAGGTGTGTTAGCTGCAGTTGCTTTTAAGTGAGTGATCTAGTTTAGTTACAACTGCTTACATGTGCCATAGGATTGGACCTAGCGTGCCCAGTTTTCATCTTTATTTCCCTTTTTTGTTTATATTTTCATCTGTTTGTAGTTATTTCATTTAAAATTAGTTAAGTTCTGAAAACCTAAGAAGCTAAATGGCTTATTTGAAAGCCTGACCACAGAAATCACATAGGAGTGTCTGGGATCACATTCTCTGGAAATCTTGTCCATCTTAGGTGAAAAGGCTTTTAAAAAACTGTCCACTAGTTTCTGCTACATTTAAAAGTTTGACAATAAATTCTGTCCTTTGTTTATTAACCAATGTTCCTCATCAAAATAAAGAAATTTTATCTAACATAGTAATACAATAACTTACATTTTTTCCTAAGAGAAATTGTGACATTGGTGCTGTACTCAAGTGAGCTTGGACTTATATGGCACTGTAATTACTAGCATGAAGACTTTACATTATTCAAAAAACATATTTTGAAAAGTTTTAGGAGTGAAAATTGAATGGGCTAATCTAGAAATCCTGAGGCTGTAGATTTGGATGTAATCAACTATTCAACTCAGCATAAGCTACTGAGGTGAGGTGAGAACCACCTCACGAAATTCAGCAACTCTGATATTTTTGGTCTCTCACATTCTTGCTAATAAACCCCCTGCCCTTTCCCCAGTATGTTACAGTTCAGAAAAGTGCCATGTGGATAATTTCTGTGGCTGATTCTTGTGGTAACCATTCCCAGAAACACTTTGGGCAGCTGCTGTGAAAGCACCTTACTTACTCCAGCTTACTTGGACATCATGTCCACAAGTGAGAGGGTCACTAACTCTGGCATTTACAAAATCAGCCTCTTTAATGAGGTTTGCAGCAAGGGTTACTGCGGCTGCCAGCTAATACCAGCTGTGTTTGTTTTTCTTGTATGAACACCTCTCCAGCAGAAGAGGAATTGAGTCCACCAAACTTTTCTTAGAAACCACATCATGTTGTTCTGCCTTTTCATGGTGACCATGCTCTCAAAGGTTAAACAGCCTACGGCTAATTCTTATCCTTTGGAGTAACACCCTTTAGAGGGCAACAGAGAACTCCAAGAGTAAGCTTTAAGGAGAGGAATGGGGAATCTAACCTTGGAATTTCACAGACATTACAGACACTGACAGTGTAATTCTCTGATTGCACAGGGATTGCCTTCCCCAGGCCTGTTCTCAGGATGCAAGCTGAGTTATTAAATTTATATCATTTTAAGATTTTTGCTCCCTTCCCTGCCATGGCAAGTTTTACTTATCAGAGCTTAAGATTTGCATAAGATTTGTAGAGTTTAGGAGCAGACGGCAGGAATGCCTGTTTCCCCTTCTGTTGCTTCTGGCAATTGCAAGTCATCTTTGCTCTCCTCTGAACTGTGCCAACAGATGCATACTGTGAGTCAAGGACCTGTCCATACACTGACTGTGAACCTAATCTTTTAGAAAGAGCTTCTCAAGCCTGTAATAGGAAATCATTTGAAGCTGCTTGACTTACTGCCAGCACAGCTCTATCTACTTGCCTTAAAACTATTTTTTCTAACTACAAGTAGCTTGTTAGCCCCCTTTCTACTTAATAATAATGATTAAGTTTGTGCTGAAATAATCACTGAGCAACCAAGCCTATATGATTGCTATGTTCTTAAGCAAAAGCAAATAAACTCAGTAACTTCCCCAAACAGCATCTCTCATCAGGTGCCAGTGGACTTTTTCTCATATCTGCAAAATATCTACCTAAAGAGTTACATTTGAATTTTAGACACACAAAAATCATTATTCCTTTATGGTGGTGGAATTTCAGAGAACCTAAATGTTCATGTTCAACATCTGTTCAAAAAACCAATAAGATTTCCTTTGCTGTGTAAGATCTAACCCAAACACTAAATTTTTGCTAAGTTAAAATAGTGGGCTGTAGGTAAAGAATAGAACTACAAACCTAAGTTAAAAACACAGACATGGATTCTTCTATTGAATTTACAAGCTTTTTTGAAAAGAGGTAACACAATGAACAGATGTATATCACTGTCTGGCCACAGGAGAATGTTAAACTCACCAGTCATGTTCAACATATATGGCAAAGATGCTGAGGGCTTGAGATCTTTGTATCCCGGTATCCCCTTCAAGCTGTGAAAGGCATTTGCCCCTTCCCTGGGGAGTGCTGGATCCTTACAACCTCCCACATAAGGCAGCAGAGTTTAATGTATCAAGACATATTATTGCTACCAAAGCAGAGACAGAATGGAAAAAACCCAGCAAGGTTTTTAATGCAGGGGAACTGCTGTTCTATGGCCATTACTCCTCAGCTTGTAGAAGGAAGCCCTGTTGATTTCAAAAGGATTATAAACCCCCAAACATTTGCTGAAATGATAAAGGATTCTTCCTGAGCAGGAATTTGATCATTCTGGCTACTGCTTGGATGTTTTTCAGGTTTAATGTGCTTTACATGGAAATAGGCTTCAGCAACAATTTAAAAAAATCAGTGCTGACAGACTTTAATCTTTAATCCTGTCATATACTGTCTTTAATCATGTTTTCCTCATGTGTCTTGTTGGTGTGTATGTTTTATTTACAACCTTAATAGGTAATAGTGACACTAAGGAATATTTTGGCTTTATTTCAACCAACTCACCAGGGGATATTCAAAGTATACAAACTGGCATGCTTGGGCAAAGAATAGAGCTAAGTCGAAACATTCTAAGCTAGTCACAATATGATTTTTTTATTTTTAGTACTAGCAAACTAGTCTTGTTAGTGATTGAAAAAAAATATTTCTGAAGTGGCTTAATCCACTGTACATAAAATAGCTTATTCTGAGAGAAAGTTATACGCAACAGAGAAATCTTGAAAGACTATTAAGTACCAAGTGGCTTAAAATTTCATGAGAAATACCCTCTTTGATGTGCTTATGTCTTGGACAATGAACAATAAGTTTGAGCAAAAATATCCTGTAACTGAATAAAAACTAGGTCTTAGTATTTTCTCTGATTACTTATAAATTCTGGGGGAAGAGTCTTCAAGTGTTTCCTTTTAATTCCCCCTCTCCATTTTGAATACCAGCTATTTTAAAACTGAACTAATGGGGGAAAAACAACCAAAAACTACGATGGAAGTTTATAGGTACTACATTTTCCAAAATAAAGTCATTATTTAATTATATAGTTATAGATTTTAATACAGCATTATTCCAAGCAAAGGCAATAAAAGCAGTCTGCCCTGTGAATATGCACAAAATATTTTAAGATTACAAAGAATACAGGTACCTTAGTCTTCTGAGTACATGCCTTTTTTTTTTTGGCTTTAACTTCAGACTCAGTTATCTGGAAGGCTAACTGCTAAATTTGCTTTCCTTATTAGATGTTATTTACCCACTAATAAGGTTAGCTATAAAAGTCACTGCAAGGAGAGGAGGACTTGATCTGAAAGTGGAAATGTAATATGTAGCATCTGGATTTCCCAACATGCTAGAGGTTTCTAGTTTTTCTCACCAAAGCATGCAGTTTTATGGGATTCACCAGTACTACCAAAATCCATCTACACAGGCAAAAAGGAGTGACAAGAGAGAAAAAATGAAAAATGTTGCACTGATGGCCAAAAAGTAAGTAGAGGAAAGAAAAAAAAAAAAGGGACTGGCAGGGCAAGCTGTAACAGTGGCATTAATGTATCTCCCACTGTCTTGATCTTGCTTTGTCATTTTTGCATCAATGGCGTTCCTTACCTCTCTTCAAATCTGTTCTACAATAAATGCTTCTTCAGTCCTTCCTGCGGAAGTATTACTGATTTACACTATTTCTTGTGATAGGAACTGCCAAAGTAAAACAATGGGTTGATAATATTGAATGGATTTTTACTTGTACAACTATTCCCCAAAGTTACACTGAACCACTGAATCAAGGCTGATCATAAAGAAAATTTCTATTGTATCACAACAATCAGAAACTAACTTCCTTAAAGCTCAAGCCAGAGATGTGTCTAACGTGTGACAAAAATGGAGGAGTCACACTTCCAACATTATCAGGGCATCAGAAGAAAATACCAAGTGAAAAAGCTTTAAATTATGTAATTACAAATTTCTTTTTAATTTAAATGCTTCATGTCATAGGATACAGGGAGCACTACCAGAGAAATCTCATAAAATGTAATGAAATAGTCTACTGGAATTGTTGAATATTCCTGGTTGCAACTTTCTATCATTATACAATTTTTCTTTTAATCATTACACGAGATCTTAACCACCCAACATATAAGTAAATTCAGACTTCATCAGTGTGTCCATTACCGTGATCTTGCTGTTTGATTTTACTGGGGAAAGTCTTACATACTTCCTTATCATATGTAAAAAGGATTTAAGTGAACTTACCCATTAACCTTTTTTCCTTTAATTTTTTTCAACATAAAGGAAGCCTTCAAAAGCTTAATTTTTAAGAGAACATCTAATTCTTAAGGACAAACTGGTTTTGAAATTCAAAGGCCTTTCCAGCAAAAGGTACTAACACGAACTAATGTTTTATAAGCCCTTTATAAAGAAAGACTACTTGCCTATAGAACTTTCTTTGTTATTCATGAAAAAATAAAAACAAGGTCTGAATTTATATGAATGAATGTTTTTATAAGTAATTAATTTATGTTCATTTAAACTTGTTGCGGCTGGAATTAGAGTGTACCTTGTGATTTTGCATCAACTGACTGTTACTGTTTCTTCCAGTTTTAGCTTAGAACTCAGGAGAATGAATGAGCCATATTAAATTAATAAAAATTTACTGTATGAAACTTTTATGAAAAAGCTTATAGAGTCCATAATTACATCAGTTAGAAGAGAATATTGTCTTTCTAACAGGGCACTCAATAATAGCAATAGATTTCAGAGCTGGTAAAAAATTATGCAGATGTATTAGGGAAGCAAAAGTTTAGCTTTGAAATGACAGTTGGATTATCATTATGTTTCAACAGAGACTACCTTGTTAGGGCCCTTGCAGTAGCAAAACAGCTTTGATTGTATTTTCTAGTAGTATTTTCAAATCTCCAATCTCACACCAGTTTGGTTTCAGACCTGTTGGTACAAGAAGGCATAAGTGATGGGCTTTTTCTTTGTTTAAAGTGTTGCTGAAAAAGATAAACAGAGGAATTAGGGAAATATTAGCTTCCATTCCCTTATGTAGTAAAAAGTGAGCCCAGTCTGAAATCTTAAGATCTGCAACTACATGCACAACAGTTACTAAATAATCTTTGAGCAACATTTTTATCTTCTGTTTCTACCTTCCACTGGTTTCAAGTTGAGATATTCTCAAGTCTCATTCAATGCACTGGGACTTGAAAATATTTAAGAACATACTGCAGTCCCCTTCCAGGATTTCTTCTGTATTTGGCAAGAAGATGATCTTGCCTGTTACCTTAACATTTGGTTACCTTGATTTTTTTTCTGCAATGTAGTTTAGGTGGAACTGCATTTAAAGCAAAAGAAAAAAAATCAATAATGCAGAGCATTGTGGTAAATGGGAGGACACAAGCTTAGTACTTTGTGTACCCAGTGATGAAAAATGAAATACCATCTGCATTTAGTGGCAATACCTGTAAAGTTCTGAATATAATTCTGTAAGTCCCGTTTGGGATGCAGATCAGATAGACTGGTTTAGGTTGGTTCCTGAAGAAGTAATTTGCATGAATTATCCAATGCAAAAACTGATTTCTGCCTACTCTGTCTGCACTTCCATTTTAGTTTAGCAGTCTGGTTCTATACATTGCTGTTCACAGACTGTCAGTTCACTGACCTACAGCCCTTGGCATTCCCATGTGGATCAGACCTCACAGATTTAAACAAACAAACAAAAATGAACAAAATCCCCCAAAACCGAATGAACGAAAGAAACCCAAACCCCAGGCGTTCCAGATAATGTTGCACATTGGCACTGGAGGCCTACCATTTCCTGTAGGGCTCTAGTTTCTGTCATGTTTGCCCAGTACTGTGACTAGTAGCAGTCTATAATTCAAAGAAAACAATCAGTGAGTGAGTTCTCAACAATTAGCAGTTTAAACTCTCACTAGATCCTCAGGTTAATTGCTGAAATCCAATGCCACATGCGCAGGATAAGAATTGTGTGGCTTTCTGTTTGTTGTCTGTGAAAGTCTAAGTGTCAATTTGGTAATATCCGTGAATAAACCGAACATCCACTGAAGCATTTGCACAGAGCATAAATGTTGTACTTTGTTTCTTTTCACAGGATAATTGAAGCTATCTGCATAGGCTGGTTCACTGCAGAATGCATTGTGAGGTTCATCGTCTCCAAAAACAAGTGTGAGTTTGTCAGAAGACCTCTCAACATCATTGATTTGCTGGCAATTACTCCTTACTACATCTCTGTTCTAATGACAGTTTTCACAGGGGAAAATTCACAGCTTCAGAGGGCTGGAGTCACTCTGAGGGTCTTAAGAATGATGAGGATTTTTTGGGTGATTAAACTGGCCCGTCATTTCATTGGCCTTCAAACACTTGGTCTGACTCTGAAGCGTTGTTACAGAGAGATGGTGATGCTACTTGTCTTTATCTGTGTTGCTATGGCAATTTTCAGTGCACTTTCCCAGCTTCTTGAAAATGGGTTGGACTTGGGAACAAAGAATAAGGATTATGCCAGCATTCCTGCTGCTTGTTGGTGGGTAATCATCTCAATGACCACAGTTGGTTATGGTGACATGTGTCCCATCACTGTACCAGGAAGGATTCTTGGAGGAATTTGTGTGGTTAGTGGCATCGTTTTATTAGCCTTGCCGATCACTTTCATTTATCACAGTTTTGTGCAGTGTTACCATGAGCTCAAGTTCCGATCTGCTAGGTACAGTAGAAGCCTCTCTGCTGAATTCTTAAATTGACCAAACTTGCATTCTGTTGTAGTTACTTGCTAAGCTTTGTCTTAGAAGAGAAAGGTGGAAGGTCCCTTCACGTGTCCTCCTTGACTGGATGGTCCTGTGGAACAACATTCTCGGCAGCCTGGAGAAAGCCCGTCACCATTCAGACAGGAAGGATGGCCATTTGCCTTGGGCACCTTGCAAGGAGAGGGAGTGATGTTTCAAATTTGAAAGAACAAAATTAACAAAGAGGATTCAGAAGTCCTCAGCCAGACCAGTTTGCCTTCCCACACAAAAGCAGAACAAAAAATGGGCTCAACACTGAGATCTGTCATTCCTGTAATTATATCCTAAACCAGTCTAAGTGCTGTGTAGCAGAAGTTTTTCAAAGATTTCAATATTTAAATGCTCCACAGAGGCATTGATAACTTCTTGCCTGAAGCATCTCCACTTTTAACTCAGATAACCAAGCTATATATTGGAGAATCACTGCTACTTTTGAGCTTTGCAACAAAGTAGAGCTGGTTCTGTAACTCAGGAAAGATGAAGAATATAGGTCTGTAGGACAAAAAACGTTGAGGCCTGATTCTGATCTTTGATGAAGCACACAATCTTCTGTAAACCCATTGTTCTGAATTTGGTAATTCGCAAAGAAATGCAAGAAGTCCACCTCCAAATGTTGTAGCAGGGACTTTCTTAGTCACAATTAATTTCTTCTCTGGAACCAAATTGTAAATAGAAGCAAGTGCTGTACTTTACAAAGATCAGCATAAGAAATCCTGGATTGATACATATATTTGCTGGTAGCTTACTGGGGGAGCTCTCCAAATTTTACATGCATTGAGTTCAGCTCCAGCCATGTGAAATTACATGTTCATAAGCACAGATTTTTCTCCCCTTCCTCCTCACCCCATTTAATTAAACATAGGTATCATAATGAGAGTTCTCCAAGACAAATTATAAGATTTCATCACTTGAGAAAGCACTGGAAAACAAGAGTAGCTGCTCCCTGTCAGATGACACTCATCATCTTTAAATTCTGGAATCCTTACTGAAGGATAAATTTTAATGAAAGTTTTAAAAACAGATGTAAAAAGCCCAGAGCATACCAAAGAAAGTAAATATGGACATGTGAGTTGCACTTGGCAAAGTGATGTATTCTCCAATGTAACTAGAAAATGCTGCTTAATAGCATCATTCAGTATAATTCTGAAAGGCTACTACATAAAAATGTGCAATTAGATACTAACACACATTAAGGTACAGCTTTACAAATTTGGGTACCAATAAACATCAACAGGGAGCTTTCATACTAACATGGAAGTTCAGAGTCATCAGCATAGCTGAATTCGGTGTGCTTGCCTGAAAATACTGCATTTACTATTATGTGTTGTAGAGGCATCTTTTATATATGTAATTGTTAAAAGCTTTAGAAGTAAAATGAGTACCACCTAGAAAACATATCTCTGTAATTGCTCACTCAAACAGACCTGCCACATTGGTCAATAACCAGTACACTGAAGGCTCTACCTGAGACCTGAAAAATCCATTATCATTTTAAGTGGTCTTAGCCTTTAGTAGTCTTAGAGAATTACATTGCAAACACAATTTTTCTGAAGACCTGAAGAGAATCTTAGTAGCCTTCCTACAGACAAGTTCGACTTTCCCTTTAATACTGCATTATTAGGAACCGTTACAGCCATACTTCTGTTCCTTGACACTCATGTGTTCTGGTGTTCAGAAGATTAGCTCTGTAGTTCCCTATACTACTCTATTTATGCCTTTTATGTCAGAATCATGTTGCTCAGAAAACAGCATTCCACAGAGAGGTGAATATGAGATCAGCAAAAATTTCTTTTTTAGGTGAGATTCACAGCTGATGTTAGTTAGGCAAGTTGTGACTTCAGAGACACTTAGATGTTCTACACCAGCAGAGATGCTGGCTCTGTATTCCTGCATGTGTACCTATATATATCCTGCATATATTATATATTATAGTCAGTTGAAATTTTTTTTTCTGCTCAAAAAAATTTCCTCCTTGACAAAATTGAAATTTCAGACTTTAATCCAAACACAGCTGTTGAAGAAAATGACATTTTCATCTTCTAATGAAAAGTTATTTTGACAGTATCAAAACCATTTTCAAGGAGAAAATTGCAATTGTTTGGTTTTTTTTTGTATTCTGCTCCAATTTTTTCCCATTAAAATAGGTTAAAAATCCCATGTAAGAACTTAACCCTACAGATTTTCATGTGCTGTTTTTAATGCTTGGGAAAAATACTGTTTTTCATAAAACTCCTTAAAACCTGCTTTCTCTTCTGTCCATGTATTGTGCTTAACCAAACCAATACTTTGTCTTGAAATGAGTGTTTTAAGGTCGCTCAAAAAACCCTCCTCCACAAAACGCCCAAACCATCATCATGATGGCAATAGTTTGAAATCCATACAGAATGTGAAATGAAGTGTATTGCAATCTTGATTTCAAGCCAAAAAAAATGCATTTCAGCACTACCTATAAATCTAATCTTTAGATGCCTGTACAAAGAAGAAAATATAAATTAATGCACATAATAACTTGTGAATACCAATTTGCACCATGAATCATTTTGTATAAGCTATTAAGGACAGGAAGTTTTCAATTATCTGGACTATACATGGTATACAAACAAATTGTTCAATCCTTTATAAAGTACTTTTCAGCTAAAGAATCCTTTCCCAGTGTAAAAAGGTAATCCAATGAAAGTAATTGTGTAAAGGAACAGGTCCGTGGAGATTATCTTAAGTCATACTGTGTTTTTTTAACAGTTTATGTTCAATTTTTATATGGTAAAATGTGAACAGAATGACCTAATATATTTTTTGAGTTACAATAAAATATTTTGAAACTACTGTATAATATAAGTGCACTAGGGAGAGATACTGGGGTGGAGCTTTTTGTTGGGTTGGTTTTTTTCCTTTCTGTTTTTATTGTTGTGTGGTTATCAGTGACTTATCAGGTTATCAGGCTTTAGTTTCCTTACAAACCAAGATGAAATAAAGTAATCTCCATGGTAGCCTTAAAACAGGCTAAATAAAATTCCTGACCTCTAGTAATATATGTCATCTTATTTTCAATGGACCAGGTTTCTTAGTGAAACTACAAAAAATATATGTGTAGTCAAAAATAAGCGTAAACTGCTGAAACTGTTTTACTAAAATTTTACTTGAGACTGTCTGTGTAAAATACAGTCTTAAGTAAAATTTTAGTAAAACAGTTTCAGCACTATTTTTAAGTCCATCATTTCAAAGCCAAGGGAAGACAAGCTGGTTCATCTTTAATCATTGCCTAGACAAGAAAAGACTTCACAGGCAATACCTCTCTCTATCGGAAACATTCCCAGTTGGAACAAATTAGAGGAAATACAAATAGTATAAAATAGTATAAAACTAGGGATAAACAAAGACAGCTTATACATTTGTGATCCAGCATTTTGGTTCATCTAAAATGAAAACCAGTATCAATGAGTTTTGAACTGCCATTGTATGGTCTGATGACATTAAAGGTTAATCATATGTTATATACTAGGTTTAAACTTAGGACTGATTTATTTGGAACTATATATTGGCTGTAATCATTCAAGGTACTGCATGTCACTTAAAAGTATTTGATCATTAATGAAATCACTGGAATGGAAAGCTGTCTAGGATATTTTCTTTCTATAGTTCTACGTGAAACATCATGCCAGATATCACAAAGAATGGAAGATTATCATTTCCCTTGATGTAAGACTTGGAAACTATTGTCTTGATGAGTACCAACAAAAAAAAAATAGTTTGATTGACTGATGATTTGAAGTAGTCTTATCAACATAAGGATCAGCCATTTAAAAATGTGATATTCATTCTTACTGTACAATGGCTTATATTGCTGTGCATAGCAGAAAGTTTGAGGAAGATAAAAATCCTGTTAATATAAGATTTGTATCTTGATGCCCATGTATTTAAAGGAAAAGGCACTCAGTTTTAATATCATGTATGTAATTTCTGCCCATAAAGGAACTGTTATTCTGATTCCAAAAAAATATAAAACTAAAGCCCTTTTGGGTTCAAAACACTTGTTTATTCCCCTCTGGGTAACAGCTACAAAAATTCTACCAGATCTGAATGTATGCCAAGAAGTGGTCATATGCACACACCAGCCAGCTAAATTCAGCAGCCAAACCAGCCAGTTTCCTGGGAACCAGCATAATGAACAAGGTCTGCTGTGCTCTGAATTTTATCTCACCTAAGAGGTTCCGGATTACACTGATGATTAAAGTTGGATCATTTGAAGTACCTTAAAATTTTTTAAATTATTATTTCAGATGAGCTTCTAAGAAACATTTGCTGGAAAATTAAATAAGCTGTGCATAGCAAAAAATATACCATTTTATTTAAAAGAAGTTACTGTGGTTTAAAAAAAGGAAGCTGGCTCTCATTTTCTGTTACTTGTGAAAGCAAACATGCAGGTCAGGATATGTGATGCTAGTTGAACTTGCTACGTAAAACAGATCCCTGTTTAAAACATGGAGACTTAGTGAGAAAAATCTTCCAGCTTTGCTAGAGCTGTAACAGTTTATACTAGCTGAAGAGCTGCCCCAGCACACAGGGAAGAAACAACAAAACACTGGTTTCATGGTAAAAAACTAATATGATTTACAGCCTGCGAAGAGCAACACAAATTAGGGAGTATCTTTTGCAGACAACAGGATAGGTTAAGCATCAAGAAGGCTCCCCAGTGAGGAATCAAGACTGTCAATCTGTCAACAAATTTTAAGAGCCACTGAAGAAGGATAATATAAATATTTGGTCAAATTAATAAAATATGGATGTTTGAAACTACACATTTTAGAGTCCTTTATTCTTTACAAATGCAAATGTCTATCATTTTGTAGAACATTAATTTTATATATTGTTTGCTTATCTGTAAAGAAAAATGTATGCTGTAATTTTAAGAGGAAATAAATGTGGGGGTTTTTATGTGAATACAGAATTAGATAGATAAAATCACATAATAAAATTTGCTGGCCTTGTTGCTGTATTTCACGGACTAGTGGTCAAAGCACAAATGTTTATAAAATGTGTTCTTTTTAACAAGTGAATTCCATGGCTATTTGTATTGGTACTGTACCTCGAAAAGAACTCTTTCCTTTAACAGTTTTTGACTACTGAGAAGTCTGCCATTTAGAACCTAGGAGTTTTAATCAATATAAAATTTGAATATTTGATCCAGAAATTAGTCTGAAGCAAAAAATAAAGCTACATAGGGCTTTTCTTTACCAACTGAATATCTATCATAATTGTGGACTGCAGAACTGTCAAAACAAAATGAAAAAGAAGCCATACAACACATATATTTTTCCTGGGGGATTATTTATAAAAACAAGTCTAGAAAAATGGATGGAATTCGTCTTCAAGTTCACTGAAACTTACTTATATTAGAAAAAAACCTAAAACAAAACCCAGAACAAAAAAGCAACCAAACAAAGAAACACACAAATATCGACATAGTAACATAGTATTCATTCTGGAATATCAACATAACCAGAAATTTCACCAATGCAATCCATACATTATTTTGAATGGATCTGAGACACTGCCTTCATTCTTTAAATGCAGCCATTTCAAAATACTTCCAAAAATAATCACAATCAATGTTCCTGTAAAAAAAGTTTGAATATTTTAAGAGATCACTGAATTATGAACTATACTAGCACCAGCCCGCTGCATTATTATGAAAATGAACAGACTTTCCATTTAGAAATCATGAGCGTTTTTACTTCTCATATGTTATTTATTAGTTTTAGAGGTTTTACATAAAATCAGTCAGAAAAGAAATTAAGCAGATGTCCACATAGTCATAGAAGTATGCTTTACAAGCATTTTTCCTAAAAGAACTTCTAAAATATTTGGAAGCAGAAGGGTTTTTTTTAATGTTTTAACACAGTTACTATTTTACAAATATGCTCAGCACTTGCACCTCCCATCAGTCTGAGATGCAAATGTAAATACACAGAACCCCCCAAAATAAGTTTGATTCTTGCTGCCTTGGGGAGTATTTTATACATTTGTTTGCTATAAGAATTTAAAAAAAAAAAAAAGTAAAGGAGTTCACTAAAATCCAGGAAATATAGAAGTTCAGTATTGGAATTCTTTCCCATGTACGCCAGAAATGCTCCAAGTCCATTTTTATACTTCTTTGCACTGGTCTTTTACCAATATTGAAGTAGCAACTTGGAGCCACAGTGATGACCAGGTTTCTATTGTACTACAGACTCTAAAGCCACTAATCAAACTTACAATACTGCTCCCAAAAACAGTATGATCCAAGACTGAAACACAAACCAAAAGCAGGATGCAGACAACAGTGCAAGCAAGCAACACAACAGTTCTCTGTAGCGGGAGTATAGCTTATCTACTGTCTGATATACTGTTATGTACTAAGTGTTCTAATACAATTTTTTTCTCCTCAGTTTAGAGATCCTTCCAGAGAATGCAGCACTTAGAAGACTTTTTTTTCTACAATGCTAAAGGCCTTATCAGCTGCACTGGCTGTGCCAAGACAGCACAGTGTCTAACCATGACTTTTGTCATTAGGGTTTAATATTTGAACTTGATGCCATTTGATGGGATGCTATGAATGAGTAAAACTGGGGCTGTTTATTATGGCATCTTGAATCTTGATGCTACTATATAGATGCCATTAAAGACTAAAAGAGAAAAACAATTCCAACAATGTATTCACTAAGTAAAGATACGCAGAGGCCCACTGAAAAGAAAAGCATCACTAACAAAATTACTTCAATAAAAAAAAAATTAAATACAAATCTAAAAATGTGGATTCCTACCAGAGATTCTTGCTTATAGGCCTCAGATTTACATGGATTCCTTGAGTACCTCTGCCTTTAGGTGCAGTATCTTTAGGCTCTACCTGTTGGGTTCTCTAATACAAACTCAGCCTGTAGATCACAGCAGCTTTTTGGTCTTCATTGACTCAAGAGGCTTAAAAACCAGATACGTTGGAAAAGAAAAATCTTTTTCAAGGAAGCCAGGCAACCAGCAGTGAATATCATCTTTGAGATGATTTTTTTTGTTTTGTTTTAGAAAACTATTTCTCATCTGGGTTATGGAAGACACAGTCCTGAATGTAAGTGCCAGGTTGCCCTCAATGCAAGACCAGGGACCATGAAACTCATCTCCTTCGCTCTTTATAGCACACTCCATCTTCCACATCTCTATCTTGTTCTCTTAGAGCTTTCTCCTTTCACCTGATCCTCACTCAAGAAGCATTAAGGTTAAACATTAACATTCATGAACTGAAGCTGCAGTTACCTTTGCCTTCTCTTCATATAGACTGTCCCATTCACATTTGAAATGCAGTTCAGATTAGATAGCTTAGAATAAATACCCATACATTTACCCATGTCAGTGTAGGATAAGAAGCTCTTTCCTCCCCCACAACAAAGGTCATATATAATGGGAAGAAACAGTCATGCAAAGCAAAGCTTTTACAAAGCAATACAAAGTAGCCTAAATCATACACATCCCATCCTTGATCTACAGTGTTATCCTGGTAGCTTCACATCCCATAGGCCATTCAAATCCATTCACAACTGTGCAGTAAAGATTACCTATCTGCCTTTGGCCATCTGCTTCTGCCAACAGGTGTGAATTTGACAGCTGAATTGCCCATGGGATGTCACAGTTACAGATTTTTACTTTTTGGTTGATGACTCTAAACTTCTGTAAAGCAAATTAGCCAGGCTTAGACAGTACACTTCCAATGGCTGGTCCACTTCCACCAGCATGTAGTATAGTCATGCTAGAATCAACTACCAGTCTTGGAAACTGGTAAGATTTCACTGTTGTATTCAAGAAACCAGTTTAAGATCTGTAAGAGGAATTACTACATTTTTGTTCCCTGATTTGGGGATTTAATCCCTACTTAGAGTTCAGGAGTGTCATGTGAACTAAAGGAACATTGCAGAGAGCACATGGAAGACTAATTAGTGAAAAAAGGAAATGAGGTAGAGAGATAGAGGTTAAAAATACTAAACCAAACAATTCAAAAGGCTCCGTGTAATGAAGGCCTTTCTAAGTGACTCACCAAAAACTACAGACATGCAATGCAGATAGAAAAAAAGAGAGAAAACTCTCAGACACTAAACTCAAGAGGACTTTGCTATACTTTTCAGTCCTCTTCCCCGTCACTGCTGCTGTCCTGCCATACCCTCCTTGAAAATGCATTCCTGCTTTCTTCCTTTGCCAGACTTTCCATCCAACTTTTTTCCCCTTTGTTTTTTACCCTTTTCCTAGATGCCCCATTTTCTTTCTTCTGCTAGCCACACCAGCAGGCTTCTGTGTTGGGACCAAGTACTTCTAAAATCACAGTGCCAGCTCGCTGCTATCCCATCCTGCCCATCCTTTGCTCTGCTACCACCATTTCTATAGGTACATGCTTATTTAAATCAAGGGACCTGTCCCTGGAGGACCCGTGCCAAAAATCATTTCCCTGTCCACTCATCTGTGGTAGGTGTAACCCAACTAATACCTGCCTACTTTGCTAAAAAGAAAGCTTTCACCCATTTCTCCGGATTACATACTGTGACAACAACTTGTATCGCCAACATTTATGATTTACTACTACCCTCTAAATGTTTTCCAAATGTGTCTGCTTGCAGACACAGTCTCTCAGATCAGGAGAATAAGAGAGACTCTAGCACTGTCTCGTGCCACTCAGCATTTGCTTCCCTTTCTGTTGAGTGCTAATGACTACCAAAAAGCACAAGGCACCCACACTAAGGGGAAACAGGGACTGAATCCTGCAAGCTACAGCTCAAAATACACACAAAGAGAGGGCTTTGACTTAAAACCTCCCTAAAAGTCACAATCTTTCCTTTCAGAGATGATCACTGGAAACTCCTGAGAAAGTGTGCCATCTTGGTGTGGAAGATCCCTACCCTAGTCTGTAATCATCACAGCTGGTACACTAAACACAATCTTTTGCTGCTTACGCAGGCTGAAGTTGTGGCCAGCACTATGTCAGCCAACTCCTTGCACTCCAAGGCTAACAGTAACATATGCAGCAAATGCTCCTGTGTTCAGCTCTGTCACTTGGGCTCTGAAGTGACATCTTTATTCACTTTCTCCTACTGTTTTAAAGAAAAATATACTACTATTATTTTGCTTTTCAAACAGAGCATGAAGCAAAAGCTTAGCTAAAACAGCATAAATTTTCTTGGAGACTGGAGCAAGAAGATAAGCACTACAGTGCTTGATTAGGTGTTTTCACTGCTCAAATGAGAGATACAGATCTCCTGAATCAAAAGATATTCAGCTCTAATGTTACAGTTGAGAGGTAAAAGTGGTTAAGTCCATTGTAGAATTGCAGTTATTTACCAGTAGTCATCAATAACCCATAAACTCTCTACTAGGTCTTTTGTTTCCTACTTATCTATGAAATGTGCAAATCCTATTTTATGGTGTTTTGTTTTGTTTTGTTTTTTTAACCAGATTTAAGGAAGGTTTTTAAACTTTTAGGCTGCAATCATCCAAAAATGAACAAATAGGAACACATAGGTATTATGCCAGAGCTCAAACTGGTTTATGTATGAATCAATGCCAGCTCTTAGATTACATTGAAATTAAGTGAAATGCTTTTAATAGTATTTGGAGAATATTTCCCGTGTCTCTACCCATGAAACTTTCCTGTAAGGGAAGCATGTAGATCTCAGTACTTATTCATTTCTCTCTGAAGCTCTCCAAACACAGCGCTATTAATTCAATAACCTAGTGAAAGCAAAGAAAGAACTTGTAGTAATTGGGTTCCAGTTATGTCAGTGTGATCTCTATGGTACAAGGTAAGTGTTTAGTGAGTGCTAAGAAGCTCGAGTTTGTAGTTTCGAATTATAACAATCTGACACTGTCTGTTTGGTGGTGACTGGATCTGGGAAAAGCACTTTAATGGAGTCAAAGTGGTGCCTCCAGCAATTCTGGGGATGCATAGAAGTGTTTCCATTCTGTCTTTAAACAGTGAGCAACAAATACTGTAGCCTAAAGAAGATGGGGAATCCTTCAGGAAATCATGATCACATCAGATCCACACTGCAAAATCTAGAAAGAGAATTACATCAGCAAGGGGAAACAATCAAGAGTATGTAAAGCAAAAAGCAAGTA